ATCTATTATTTAACATCTTGTTCTACACTAAAAAAAAAATAATAAAAAAATCCGGATAAGACACACGAGATTTAACCGACTACGGCGCTAACGTAAGTCACAACTCTTAAAAAACCTAAGTTGATTTATTCTCGTAAATGGTAGCAGAACACATAAAAGTCTTTAAATGGCGCCACAATTATACTGAGACTCAAGAATCGGTCTCTCATTAATATTTTATCAAGTTACACAATAATTAAACTCTATCCACCTATAATGAACAAAACAAAATGGCGTCATATTTACACTGAAACTTTGTTAAATTATCAGAATAAACGACGAAAACAAAAACAATTCATCAGCAATTAAACACAACAGGTGGAGGACTATTGAACAGAGCAGTGGTGGAGGTAGAGGCTGGGAGGTAGAGGCTGGGAGGTAGAGGTTGGGAGGTAGAGGCTGGGGGTAGAGGCTGGGAGGTACAGGCTGGGAGGCACAGGCTGGGAGGTACAGGCTGGGAGGTAGAGGTTGGGAGGTAGAGGTTGGAGGTAGAGGCTGGGAGGTAGGGGAGGCTGGGAGGCAGAGGCTGGGAGGTAGAGGTTGGCGGGTAGAGGCTGGGAGGCAGAGGTTGGGAGGTAGAGGCTGGGAGTAGAGGCTGGGAGGTAGAGGCCAGAGGTAGAGGCTGGGGAGGCAGGAGGTTGGGAGGTAGAGGCTGGGAGGTAGAGGTTGGGAGGTAGAGGCTGGGAGGCAGGTTGGGAGGTAGAGGCTGGGAGGTAGAGGCTGGGAGTAGAGGCTGGGAGTGTAGGAGGCTGGGAGGCAGAGGCTGGAGGTAGAGGTTGGGAGGTAGAGGCTGGGAGGCAGAGGTTGGGCAGGTAGAGGCTGGGAGGCAGGTGGTTGGGAGGTAGAGGTTGGCAGGTAGAGGCTGGGAGGTAGAGGCTGGGAGGTAGAGGCTAGGAGGAGGCTGGGAGGTAGAGGCTGGCAGGTAGAGGCTGGGAGGTAGAGGCAGGCTGGAGGCAGAGGTTGGGAGGTAGAGGCTGGGAGGTAGAGGTGGCTGGGAGGTAGGAGGCTGGGAGGTGAGGCTGGGAGTGCAGGGGAGGCTGGGAGGCAGAGGCTGGGAGGTAGAGGCTGGAGGCAGTGAGGCTGGGCAGGCAGAGCCGGGAGGTAGAGGCTGGGAGGCAGGAGGTTGGCGTGGAGGCTGGGAGGTAGAGGTTGGGAGGCAGAGGCTGGGAGGTAGAGGTTGGGAGGTAGAGGTTGGCAGGTGAGGTTGGTGGCAGTAGAGGCTGGGAGGTAGAGGTTGGGAGGTAGAGGCTGGGAGGTAGAGGCTGGGAGGTAGAGGCTGGGAGGTAGAGGTTGGCAGGTAGAGGCTGGGGAGGTAGAGGCTGTGGGAGGTAGAGGCTGGAGGTAGAGGCTGGGAGGTAGGGGAGGTTGGGTGGGTAGAGGCTGGGAGGTAGAGGTTGGGAGGTAGAGGTTGGGAGGTAGAGGCTGGGAGGTAGAGGCTGGGAGGTAGAGGTTGGCAGGTAGAGGCTGGGAGGTACAGGCTGGGAGGGAGAGGTTGGGAGGTACAGGCTGGGAGCGGGAGGTACAGGCTGGGAGGTAGAGGTTGGGAGGGAGAGGTTGGGAGGGTGAAAGGCTGTGATACTGTTGATAAGAGGAATTGACAGCAGTAACAGCAGGGCGTGAGGTGATAGCGACGGTCACCCCTCCCCCCCACTACTGAGAGAGAGAGAGAGAGAGAGAGAGAGAGAGAGAGAAATATAAAGTATAAGATTGAACATTTTCTTTCCTTATAAAAAATATATAAAGTAAACAATAAGTATAATATATCCAGACCTAAACAAACACGGCGGTACTTCCCTCAAGACTGAATCACCCGACACGAGATACGACACGACACGACACACGACACTGACAATCTGACACGACACCCGACACACGACACGACACACACACGACACCCGACACGACACCTGACACGACACCCGACAATAATGACACGACACGACACACGACACGACACTCCGACACGACACACGACACACACGACACCCGACACACGACACGACACGACACCCGACACACGACACGACACCTGACACACACACAACACGACACAACACGACACGACACACGACACGAGATACGACACCTGACACGACACACGACACGACAATAATGACACACCCTGGCTGAGAGACACGACATTAATGATACACGAGATAAGACACACGAAACGACACGAGACACGCATAGCCATAAACTATATGAAGATCAGAGAACACACCTACTCTACCAACTACCCCAGCCTAGGTCCCACCCTCTACTCCACGTCTCCTCCCTGCTCCCTGTCACATGTCTCCCCTCAAAGTGCGTATAGTTCTGGGTCATTCATCAAGGCAGTGTTACCTGGGCTGATAGGATTCATTAAAGATGTCAACATACCTGAGAGAGAGAGAGAGAGAGAGAGGAGGAGAGAGAGAGAGGAGAGAGAGAGAGAGAGAGAGAGAGAGAGAGAGAGAGAGAGAGAGAGAGAGAGAGAGAGAGTTTAAGTAGTGTTTAGCTGATTATCACACACACACACACATACACACACACACACACACACACACACCTGTCATTGAAGTCTCTTTCGTGTCTAATTTTCTTACCTCCTCTTCCTCCTCCTCCTCCTCCCCCTCCTACTATTCTTCCTCCTCCTCTTCCTCCGCCTCTATCATTCCTATTATTCATTCTTCTATGACGGTTCCTGCTCTTCCTTCCTTCCTTCCTTCCTTCCTTCCATTCCTCCTCCTCCTCCATTACTACTCCTATCCTTCCACTTCCTCTCGAGTCACCTCCTCCTTCTCCTCTCCTTCTCTTTCTCTTCGCCAGGAGGAAGAAGAGGAAGAGAAGGGGGAAGAAGAAGAGAAAGAGGAAGAAAAGGAGAAGGAAGAGAGAGAGAAACAAAAAGAGGATTATTAAGCAGGAGAAAGAATGCGAGGGAAAGCAGGAATAAAAGAGGGAGAAGAGAAAGAAAAGATGAAGGAAATAGACAAAGAGGAATAAGAAGAGAGGGGAATGAAGAGAAGAATAATGAGAGAGAGAGAGAGAGAGAGAGAGAGAGAGAGAGAGAGAGAGGTCTACTAAATATTTCACACACGTCAGATACCTTTGAATCTCGGCTCGATTGTTTTTGATCGATGGTGTGTGTGTGTGTGTGTGTGTGTGTGTGTGTGTGTGTGTGTGTGTGATAAAACAGGGAATAATGAGGTAAATTAGAGGAATAAGGGAAGGACAGGTGAGAGTTTTATCTACACTAATGACTGGAAACAGTTACCTGGCCATGTGTACCTGACTGTGTACATCTGACCATGTGTACCCGACTGCGCGCACACACACACACACACAACAAACATGTGTCCCCCACAAGCAGGAAACAACATGTCAATTGTCAAAAGTTTTGCCACCACCACAAAATAGCTGCTTCAGTCACTTTTACCATGACACTAACAGCTGTAGATCGATGCGCGCGCGCACACACACACACACACACACACACACACACACACACACACACAGAGGGGTATCAAACGTAATGTTGTCACAGTGTCAGAATATGTCACGGTGTCACAAATGGCCGTCATTCCACTCAACAACTTTCACTCCCACAATTTACCAACTGTGGTCCCCATTTGCAGCTGGGTCGACTAGGGGGTACCTTAAGTACAGATAGCAAGCGTTGTGTCCATTTGCTCAAACATCTATGGTCGTCAGGGAATAAAAATATATATATTTCTCTACAATTCGTTCATTTTTGGTAGGAATTAAACAGACTAACAAACCCACAGACAGCATAGGTCTAGTGAACAGAACACTGATAGAACACCGCTTTATATCTCTCAGTAACAACACAAACACACACAGAACACTGAGAGAACACCGCTTTATATCTCTCAGTAACAACACAGACACACACAGAACACTGGGAGAACACCGCTTTATATCTCTCACTAACAACACAAACACACACAGAACACTGAGAGAACACCGCTTTATATCTCTCAGTAACAACACAAACACACACAGAACACTGAGAGAACACCGCTTTATATCTCTCAGTAACAACACAAACACACACAGAACACTGAGAGAACACCGCTTTATATCTCTCAGTAACAACACAGACACACACAGAACACTGAGAGAACACCGCTTTATATCTCTCAGTAACAACACAGACACACACAGAACACTGAGAGAACACCGCTTTATATCTCTCAGTAACAACACAGACACACACAGAACACTGAGAGAACACCGCTTTATATCTCTCAGTAACAACACAGACACACACAGAACACTGAGAGAACACCGCTTTATATCTCTCAGTAACAACACAAACACACACAGAACACTGAGAGAACACCGCTTTATATCTCTCAGTAACAACACTGGTCACTTGCAACACAGGTGAAGCAGTGTCAATGGGCGAAGATTCAAAATCCACGCGGGTGAGGGCATGGTGCACGCTGATTGGTCTCTTGTATACCATAATGCCTGCAGGAGGTAGCGTCTCCTTCAATTAGGTTTGGATGGGTCGATGGTACAGGCTTGAGAAAGGTAAGGTAAGGTAGATTAGGTGAGGTGAGGTAAGGTGAGGTGAGGTGAGGTAAGGTAAGGTAGATTAGGTGAGGTGGAGGGAGGTGAGGGAGGAGGTGGAGGTGAGGTGAGGTGGAGGAAGGTAAGGTAAGGTAAGGTAAGGTAAGGTGGAGGTGGGAGGTGAGGTGAGGGTGGAGGTAAGGTAGATTAGGTGAGGGAGGTGGAGGAGGTAAGGTAAGGTGAGGTTAGGTAAGGTAGATTAGGTGAGGTAAGGTAAGGTAAGGTGAGGTGAGGTTAGGTTAGGGTTAGATTAGATTAGGGTTAGGTTACGTTAGGGTAGAGAGAGAGAGAGAGAGGAAAACTCCTGACATCACAATAGACAAGAGCGAATAAGCGCACACCACAGCAACACAGACAGACAGACACAAAGTGGACCTGGCCACACAATGGTAAACAGAGAGCCTCTTACCTTCCGTCTCCTCAGGTAAGGGCTCAGGGCTTCCCCACACACGCTTGGGAAGAACAGGTAAAGAAGAGAAGTCTGAGGGTGACCCAGGCCAGGAGGAGGAGGCTGGACATCTGAAGGGCGAGGTGGGGAGTCTGGTAGGTGAGGAAGGCTCTGACGCGGTCCAGTTGAAGCTGTGGAGGGAGGTGGTGGTGGTGTCCTCGGAGGCTGCTCTTCGTGGGATGACCTTCCGCTTGCGACCAAGACCAAGACCAGCAGCGGCGAAGCTCATAGTCCCTTGAAGCGAGGCGAGGGTGTGTCAGAGCCTCTCCCAGCTGGTTAAGGCGTGCCCAGAGCCTTTTCCAGCTGACGAAGGAGTACTCCGCAGCCTCTCCCAGCTGACGAAGGAGTATCAGAGCCTTTCCCAGCTGACGAAGGAGTATCAGAGCCTTTCCCAGCTGACGAAGGAGTATCAGAGCCTTTCCCAGCTGACGAAGGAGTATCAGAGCCTCTCCCAGCTGACGAAGGAGTATCAGAGCCTTTCCCAGCTGAGGAAGGAGTATCAGAGCTTCTCCCAGCTGACGAAGGAGTACCAGTGTCTTTCCCAGCTGACGGAGTGCCAAAGGCCTCTTCCACCTGACGAAGGCGTATCAGAGCCTCTCTCAGCTGACGAAGGCGTATCAGAGCCTCTCCCAGCTGACGAAGGCGTATCAGAGCCTCTCTCAGCTGACGAAGGCGTATCAGAGCCTCTCCCAGCTGACGAAGGCGTAACAGAGCCTCTCCCAGCTGACTGTTATGTTAGGGATAATTTCATGTTCCTATAATGATCATTCCAACATTCGTCTAGTTGACTTGTTCTTCCTTAACTCCCTCCTGGATCAACACTTCTGCCACACCACAAGGCCCATCCACTCAGCTGGGCCTACATCCTTACGTCACTTTAACACAATCCCGCACACCTGTTAATCCACACACCTGTCAATTCCCTACACCTTTTAAATCCACACACCTGTCAATCTCATCAACACGACACTGGTTTAAAGGTCTCTGTAACATTGTAAACAAATAAATAACATAATAAACGTCTCAGGTAAAATACATCTTAATATTGACGATTTTTTTCCCATTTCCTCCAAGATGTAAAAAAAATAAATTCTTCGTTTGGTTTATTTTATTTTTTTTGGTATTGACTCATGATATTTTTTCCTAAGTGTGTATTTTTGTTGTTGTTGTTTTTTCTTCAATGTCTATATCCCTGTCTCTCTATCTCTCACTTGTCACTGTCTCTCTGTCTCTTATCTGTCACTGTCTTTGTCACTTTCCACTGTCTCTTTGTTTCTATCTGTCACTTTCCACTGTCTATCTGTCTCTCTATCTGTCACTGTCCACTTTCTATCTCTATCTCAATCTCTGTCTTAATTGCACCTCTTCCTTCACTACACCTCTTCCTTCACTACACCTCTTCCTTCACTACACCTCTTCCTTCACTACAACCTCTTCCTTCACTACACCTCTTCCTTCACTTTAGCAACACACATTTCAATCTGTCCAACAAACTCTGCCTCTGTGCCTGTCAATTTGTCTGTTTTCTTTCACTTCATTCACAGACTCACCAACTAATAATTATTCAACAGTTATCCATTTCTTTCACTTCATTCACCGTCTCAAGACTCCACGCTCCTTAGAGAGTCTTGGCAACCACCACAAAGTTTGAGGAAAATAAACTTTTTCAAAAGTTCTTCAAGTTCAAAGTTGTCATTTTTACTTTCGCGTCTTGTTAACTTTTGACACAATATTGGAGAGCTTAATGAGGAGGTTGGGTGGAGGGTGTGGGTGGAGGGTGTGGAGGTGGAGAGGTGTGGGTGGAGGGTGGAGGTGGAGGGGTGGGTGGTGGGTGTGGGTGGTGGGGTGTGGTGTGTGGAGGGGTGGGGGGTGGGTGGTGGGTGGAGGATGGTGAAGGGAGGGTAAGGGTGGAGGGTGTGGGTGGAGGTGTGGGTGGAGGGTGGTGGGTGGAGAGAGTGGTGGGTGGTGGGTGGAGGGTGAGGTGGTGCGTGTGGGGTGGTGGGTGGAGGGTGTGGGGTGGTGGGTGGAGGGTGTGGGGTGGTGGGGTGGAGGTGGAGGGTGAGGTGGTGGGTGGAGGGTGGTGAGTGGAGGGTAGGGTGGAGGGAGGGGTGAAGGTGTGGGTGTGGATGAAGGGTGGGTGGTGGTGAGGGTGATGGGATAAGATGTGGGTGGTGGGTGGAAGTGGGTGTTAGGGAACATCCTGACCTCAGAGTTACAGGTCTCACTGTACACGCACACACGACCACACACACACACACACACACACACACACCATCCATCCTAAAAAAAAGTCAATACAAAAAACATAACAAGTCCAGTCGTTAATCACTCTAACCACTCGTTAGGAACTATTACCGCTCCAATACCCGGCGCCTATAATCAAACAAGGCCATTAGTACACAACCATTAGCTCGAGTGTCTTAATTACCCTATTACAGCAGTCCAGGATACCATTATACATATCGAAATATTTCCTAATGGTGTTTACACCCATTGTCAATAGCCTAATTATCCCCATTAAAATAGTTCAGGTTATTTCTCACCAGTGTTGTTAGTAATGGTGATACGCCCCATTAGCTAGTGTCCTAATTACCTCGTTTGAGCTATTGATAGGGTGTTAACCTAGGTGAAATTAGTAATATTTGTAGAGTAATTAGCTCAGGTAATGACTGCTACACTAGATAGGACCCCCTCTCTCTCTCTCACAGGTAAGCAGCTTCCTCTGACTAATTAATAACTTGATCGCCAAAGCCAGCATGTCAACACGACAGGTAGATCAGTGCCACAACTATCACAACCACAACCACTATAACCACCACTACCACAATTATCACTACCACCACTACAATTATAACCATTTCATTACAACCATCACCAAACTACCAGCATTTCACTATCAACACTCATTAATATCACCACCACCACCTTTCGCTCTCCCACCTCCCCACCCTCCCCTCACCCCTCCCACACCCTCCCTCATCCTCCACCCTCCCTCACCCCCTCCCACACCCTCCCAGATAAAGTGAGACAGTAGGGGCTCTGGTGGAACAAAGAAATAATTCACCTCTTGACCTCCTCCTCTTGCCTCTATCCCATCCCGTCCCGCCACCGTTCCATCAAAACTACCTAATAGAGGGGGCACCGATAACAGACAAAGGTAACAAGCACCTTTAAAACACAATACCAACGCTATAAACTGAACACACACACACACACACCACACACACCCACCCACACACACACACACACACACACACACACACACACACACACACACACACACACACTCTCATTATAATTACGAGTTCTCAGTAAATTTAAATAAAATATAAGACTGTCATCCCCACCCCACACTAGTACCACAACCACCCCCACCACCACCACCATCACCCCACCCCCTTCACCACCACCCCCACCAGCAGCTGCCGCCGAGAGTTCCTGTAAACAGCTTGGTGTCGTCTCACACCTTAACTTACTACCAACATTCTAAGATTTTCCCAGAAATTTAAAATCGTCTAGAAAGTGCGGTAGTGAAGATTTCTTATCGCTGGAAATTTATTTTATATTTCTGCGAATGTGTGTGTGTGTGTGTGTGAATCGTTAAATATTTTTTAATAATCGTCTGCCAAAATATCTAATTATTTTATTATATTACGTCAAAAACCACAACAAAGACAAGAGAAAGAGAGAGAAAGAGACTCAATATTCACAAATAATTCAATACGTCTCTTGTGTTTACCGAGTCACGCACCAGAAAATCCTATAGAGAACAACATGTCAGAAATACTCCTTTACATCTCAACTACGGCAACCTTCACTTCCCCACACACCAATTAAAAGCAAAACATCAATTAGCACTCATCAGAAAACATTAATTAGCCGCACACCAATAAACCGATCAATTAACGAAACATCAATTAACCGGAAAACATTATTTACCCGCAATGTCTGCTACCTACCATGATCCACACCATCAAACTACCACAACCATTCATTTAACCAGACGTCAATTAGCCGAAAAATATCAATTAACCGCATCAATTACCCAGAAACATCAATTAACCGCAATATTTAACTACCGCACTAAAATCCACAATTTAACTATCCGCAGCATTAACCCACAGGATTTGGCTTCGACTAACCCAAAAGTATTAACCGCAGGATATCTAACCTTGACCCTTGATTTGTGACCTGTAACCTTGATATTTGACCTTCAACCCCGACCAATGACCCCGTGACCACTAACCTGTGATCCTGACCTGCAGAACCAAATCTGTGAACTGTAACCTGACCTGCGACCTATAAACCCCAACCTATGACCTGTAACCCTGACATGTGACCCTGACCTGTGATCTGCAACCCTGACCTGCAACCTGATCTGTGACCTGTAACTGATCTGAGACCTGTAACCCTGATCTGTGACCTGTAACCCTGACCTGTGACTTGCAAACCCCAACCTGTAACCTGACCTTTGATCTGTAACCTAATCTGTGACCTGTAACCCTGACCTGTGACCTGTAACCCTAACCATGACCTGTAACCCTGACCTGTACCTGTAGCTTTACAGACACGCTGCCTCATTGGTATGTTATATAAATGTTAAAAATTAGCGTTAAACTATATTATGTGTTAAATTATATATGTTAAACTATAAAAAGTCATAACACCTATAATAAATATAAATATTTACTCGATTAACACAGAACACTGTATCACCTGATAATTAACCCCAGCATTTCACCTGAAGAGTAACCTAACCCAACTTAACCTATTTCACTAAGTAATTGCATTAATCAACATTATTGAAACACGAGTCAACTTAATATAAATTATCAACCAAAAATATAATTAATTATATACAGAAAGGTTCCAGATTTCTTCAAATTGAAAAGAAAAGTTAATTAATTTTTTTACACAAGAACAAAATAATTGCATTTTTTTAACACAAGTACACTTAAATTTTTGTACACTTCAACACAGAACAACACAAGGTACACTTAACTGTCTTAAGTAAGTATTTAAGTAAGTGATTTAAGTGTAACCTTCTACACTAATACATCACACTTTACATCATCACAAGTACAGAAGAAAAAATCACAGTTATTATCTGTTTCAGTTTGATGTTGCAGTCATTAACAAACACCACTGTAGTAGTTCAGTCACTCACTGCAGGAACAGTTAGCCAGTCACTCACAGCGTTATAAACAGTGTAACTATGCATGAGTGACAGCTGATGCACTTGAAAAAATATATCCCTCACTTGGATAAACACTCATTTGTCAGGTCAGGAATGGAGGGTTGTGTTGGTTAATTAAAAGGTCATTATTTGTACCCCACACTCCAACACATCTTTCTAAAACACAGTTTGTTCCAGTTAAACAGTCATTAACACAGTCTACTCGGCCAGACACAGTTTGTTCAGTCAAACAGTCATTACACAACAGTCTACGGGATGTGGCAAATAACAGTTATCACACACTAACATCAGCCAAGACACGGAGCCGAGTTAGTATTGCGCCATATGAGTCATATTGGTTGGTCTTACTAATAGTTAGTGGCGCTAATGACACTTAAGACGCCAGTAACACCGTTCCAGGCACCATTATTACTCAACACCTCAACACTAGGAGGGCCGCACTGTACCACCATCACTAGGAGAGGCCGCACCCTGTACCACCAACACTAGGAGGGCCGCACTATGTACCACCATCACTAGGAAGGCCGCACCCTGTACCACCATCACTAGGAGGGCCACCCTGTA